ATGCAACTTAGTCTTTTATTTGCCATGTAAGCAAATCGTTTCTAATGAGTGAAACCACATCATATAAACGCTATGGTTTTAACAGTACAGTGACACAAAAAGAAACTTATTCATACATTAGTGACTAAATTAAAAATTTTAATACTTTAATGACCATTTTAAAATAACCCCAATAGTTAGTGACCAATTATGTAATTTACCCAAAAAAATTTAGCATCTTTTTGTCTCTGACGTCTAATTTTTATTTAGAGTTAATTATATTTTTGGTAATTAAATTTTAGAAAAATATATAAATTGAATTTTAAAAAATAAAATGTAAAATTTACATCTTAAATTTTTAAATAATATATCATTTTAATTTTAATTTTAATTTTGTTAACTTAACTTGTTTATGGTATTTTACCATTATAATTTTGTTATACACATAATATTTGTTAAAAAAATGTTAACTATTTTTAAAAAATCTTTATGTAAATGTCACGTGACAAAAAATATTAATCATTCTTTTGCAGTTTTTACAATTCAAACTAAATATATAAATATTTAATTTCTATTAAAAAAGATATAGATAATATGTGCAATGATACATAACTTAATAATATTCATCAAATGTTGCATATATAAATTGATATGGTCAAAAGGATTAAAGTTTGTACTAATATGATATACCATTCATCCCAAACGTATTGATTTTTATAAAGTTTAAAAAAAAAAGTTTGACTTTAATATATTTAACATTAAAATTAATTTTTTTATAAAATTAAAGTTTCATGATTTTAATGTCAAAAAGTAAAAATAAAATAAAAATAATTTTAAAATATAATAAGTAAGAATTTTATATGTTCAAAAAAGGAAAAAAGAAATAATTTTGGAACATTCCAAAATGTAAAGATGAAAAAAGAAAATGAAACAGAGGGAATATATAATTTGAAAATTCAAGATGAAAATTATATATTTTATTCCTTTAAATACTATTTTATATACTTTTTAAAAATTTAATAGCAAAAGTATAATTAACTCTTTTATTTATGATGTTATGCTTGTTCTAGATATTTTAATCACTTACATTTGTCATGGATATTTAGGTTATGTTTAATGCATAAGATGATAGAGATGATAGAATGAAAATCATTTTATATTATGTTTGATTTGTATTTAAAAAAGATGTATGATTGCAAAAAAGATTAATCATTTTCTTGGCATAAGATGATTCAATCCTTTTAAAGTAAAAAAGATTATTTTTAATCAACGAATTGAATTTACATATCTTATTATATCTTTAAAAATTATATTAATAATTTAAATTTTATAAACTTTGAAGAAGGATAATTTTAACTAATAAATAAATTATTCTTTTTTAATCCTTGTACACATCAAACATAATATATAATAATATTATTTAATTTAATTCTACTTATAATATTATTTTATTTTATCTTGTCATAATATTGTGCACCAAATGCATCATTAACCTTTTAGACCTTCTTATGAAGAATCTTTGCTGTAATTTTGCAAACATGAAAGTTACTTTGGTTTGTTCGTTTAGGGGAAATTGGGTTTTAGAAAATATTTATATTTTTTTTAAAAAATAGAATTTTTTTTTGTTTGGATGAGATAATAAAAAACATTTTTTATTGTTTAGTTATTTTCTGAAAATTTTATTTTTTTCAAATAATATTAACATAATTATTAAAATATTAAAAATTATTTATTATTAAAATATATTAAATTTATTATTAACATTATTAATGTTAAAAATAATTATTTTTATAATAATATTTAATATTAAAATATTATATTAATATTAAACACTAAAAACAAAACTATTTATTATTTATATTAATATTTTAAAATATTTAAAATAGTATCAGTATTCTCAAAATGTTATTTTTATTAATATAATAATAAAAATAGTAATATTTATTATTAAAATATGAAAATATTTATACTATTAATATATATATTTTATATTGAAGTTATTTAATATAAATATTTAATTTAAGTTAAATAAAAACACTTGTATTAATATAATAATATTTTAAGATTTGGTTAAATCAAATTGGAATTTAAAATATCTTGTCCAAGATCTGTATTGAGTAGAATCAAAATATTTAAAATTAAAATATTAAAAAAAATTTAATATTAATATTTAAAATTTTTTAATTAAAATTAAATAAAAATATTTTTATTAATATAATAATATTTCCAATAGATCATATTAAGCCTACACTTTAAAAAATCATATTTAATGTCTTATTTGAATAAAATTATACTTGTGAATTTAATAAATAGTTTTACTTAAACAATTCTTTTTGCAAAATTATTTTTACTTTTTCAAAAAGGAAAAACAATTTTAAAAAATAATCTTAATTTTTTTTGTTAATCAACCAATTTTTTAACACACAAACATTAAAAAATATAAAAAATTGTTTTTCACAAAACAAATCGCAACGAATCATTGTTGAAATTCTGAGTTCTAATAAGGAATTGGGATCCCCTAGATCTCCAACATTACTATGAGTTGTAAAAGCACACTCCACAACTAGATATTTCCCATGAAATGTTAAGAAAAAAAATGATATTCCCATTAAATATCTCCACTTTTCTCCTACGTGGAATTTCTTATTAGTCCCAAGATGATGAGAAATTTGTGTCCACAAACCATTAGAGTTCCCCGTTAAAAACCTTGCTGTTCCGGAAAACATTGAACACCTTTTTCACTACTTAAGAGGGGACAGGAATAGTGACCACCAACGAGCAACAGTGGCAACCCTTTCCAGTCTTAACCTCGTAACGCCAAGAGTCGTAGCCGACGTACCAGAGTCCACAAAGGGTAGCCCCGTCAAGGTTCCATGCCTTAGCCAGCCCGGGAAAAGGGTCTCCCTATTGGGTTCTAGGCGAATGCAGGAATTAAGACCAGTGAGAGCTGCCCCCGAGAACTTATCGGAGAAGGTGGAAAAGAGCATCAAGGTCGCAGAGGAGGCGTGCTCGGGTGATCCAGAGAGCAGAGAATGTGGGCGGCTTGGGATGAGGTGGAAGAGCTCAGTGCGGCAGCCAGCCACGCCAGGGACAAGAAGAAAGGAAACGATCCTTTGGAGAAGTACTGTGAAGACAACCCGGAGGCTGATGAGTGCCGCAGTTATGAAGATTGAAATGGATTTTTAATTTACGAGCTTTTTCCTTATATGATGAGAATAGTGGGAATTTTTATATGGAGTTTTAGATGTTGTAAACCTCATTGTATATGTGAAACTATTGGTTGTTTACTCGTTCTATAATGATGTAATTCTACCTAAACTCCAATTTTTTGTCCGGCAATGTATGCATGAGATTTTACCTACGAAAGGTTTTCTCATGCAACGTGGAATAAACTTTCAAAATAGTTGCATGTTATGTGGTCAAGGGCAAGAGGACATTCAGCACCTTTTACGTGACTGCCAATGGACGAAGATCGTATGGAGGAACCAAGGGGAGGTTGCAGGCTTGTCTCTAGGTGGCGCTTTTAGGGATTAGGTCCAATTCAAAGCTACTGATAATAGAAGATCGAAACACCATTTTGTTCCCTGGGGCTTGTTATTCATCCATATCATGTGGGAAGTTTGGCTGGAAAGAAACCATAGGACTTTCAAAGGGAGCAGCAAAAGGGTGGATGTTGTCAAGCATGCGATTGAGAAAGCAGAGAATTCTACGCCTTGAACCAAATAGAGGGGAAAAACGCCCAAGTCTCTTTCATTCCTGTTAAATGGAAACCGCCTGAGTGTGGACGTTTTAAGCTTAACACCAATGGGTGGAAATCTAAGAAGAGCAGGGGCTGGAACCATCATTAGAGACCATACAAGAAAATGGGTGGCTGGCTCTGTCAGATTTATAGGATATGGAACGAATACATTAGCTGAATTATGGGCTTTTAAGGATGGGTTAATGCTGGCTAAACATCTTAATATTTCTAACCTGGATGTGGAAATTGATGCTGTTACTGTCATTTCTTTGATTAAAAACCAATCCACTCCTATATTTGCAACCTTTAATCGATGACCACAGGAAGTTGCTGTTGGAAATTAGTTGCTGCGAAATCATGCATACCTTCAAGGGGGGGAACACTTGTGTTGATGCTTTGGCTCGTTTTGGTAATGACCGCTTTGCAATGTATGAATGTTATGAAAATCCTTTTGTGTTATTTCAAGACCTTTCTAATTTTATTTTGAACCTATTTGCCGATGATGCAGCAAAAAGAATTTGTACCATACTATTTTATGATCTTTATCTAGTTCTAATTTTCTACAAAAAAAAATTTTCTATACCGTACAACCAGGAAAAAGATAATTCGGAATTGGTTATTTAAAGCGTTTTTATTGATTACATGAGCTTTCTGATGCTTTCAGATGCTGTCTTAATATAGCAGAAATCCCCTAATAGAATATGCAAGTTTGAGTAATTCTAGGGTCTAGGAAGTCTTGCTTAAAAATTTTTTGAAGAAAAGCACCAGACCCTATGTATTATGGTAGCTTCTTTTTTTCATCTTAGTTTCCTTTATTTATCTCGAAAATAAATACATAGGAAAGTAAGATTCAGGTTGGAATTGCTGACTCAATAACTGTGACGGGGATGTGGAGAAAAAGCAATCAACATAATCACAAGCAGAATCTGCATCAACAAATAAATCACCATCATAATCTCTTTTTTTTTTTTTTTTAATTTCTCAATGAGAAGATCAGTACAATAAAAATTATATTCGGTTTCGTTTGTTCCATGAATAGCCTTTATAGCTTACAAATGGAGGTCTTAAGAACTTTCATTTTACCATAGGAGAATCTTTGAATTAAATCTTCTGATAAGTACGTTCTATTTTATAAAGCTGTGAATTATTAGTTTCTGATTACATTCACAGTTAATGATTAGAAGAACGAAAAAGTTAAGCGCTGAAGCAAAGGCAAGAAAGATTCAAGATATCTATTTTTCTGGCGTTGGCCGGCCAAATTGTCTACGGTGAAGAATATTCGATATCATTCCCAACTTAGCGCTGTGCGTCAGCAATCATAAATTAACCACACGACGATCGATGAAAAAGATGTACAACGACCGTGACGTATTAATTAGTTAGTTGCCTATCGGCTATTCTATTAGCTGTGGCCTGTGGAGAATGCTTACCTTACCAAAGGTGTCTTTGTTGAATTTGACAAATACATGATACGCATAAATGAGCATGACTTAATCGAACGTGATACGTGCGCTTCTTCCTCGACACAAATGTCAATTTTGGTGAACTCTCAATCGAATGGAATAAATCCATCCTCATCCGCAATCCAACCAAAGCTTATCAGTAATAGGGAGGAAGCAACGGTAGAAACTTGAAACTAGAGCATGATAGTTGGTATCCTCGTATTCATGAACCAGGAAGACAAAGGTGAATGATCCCATCCACCTGGAAACTTCCTTTACCATCAACCTTTTATCTAATCTGAATTTCTTAATTATCTTAAATCAGTTCAAAAACTTCACAGAGTCAGTCCTAATGGTTTATCCAAAAAAAAGACCACAAACATGCTTGAACTAGCAGGAGATTACGATTTACAGAATTAACACTATGGTAGAAAATCCCATGTGGATGTGCCCAACATATTAAAATCCTGGTAATATTGGACATTGCTTAAGACATATGAACATGCAATTACTCTACTAAAGGAATACTACAAGAATTAATTAATAAGAAAGAAATGTTTGAAGAGTCCATTGTTGAGATTGAAGAATCACAGCCTGTGCAGCAGCAAGGAGCACAAGCAAGACAAAGCATCTTACAATTTCTATTACAGAATCAAATTCAAAGTGAACATGGAAACCAAAGTTGAAAACAGTTCCAACTTCTAATTAATCCGAAACTCCCACCCATAATGTAATTCCTTTAATCAAACTGAATAATTTGGAGAAAGAAATGCCAAAATTCAATTAAACCCTCAACCTAACTTTATCAAAACAAAAATACCACTTGCTATCACCAAAACAATCAGTTATCCCATTGTAGTTTAAGCAGACTATGCTAAGAATGCTTATAGGAAGAGAGCATTTTACCTTTAATTCTTTTCATTATAATACTACAAATTATGTAAAGATCCCCTAATTATAGGTAGGACTCATGCAAAATTTTGAAGAACCCCATAAAATTCTAAATTATGATTTATGATTGGTTAATAGTAGTACAATGATTGTAGGTGATATAATCTCATAATAAGAAAGTGTGAACACCTCTTTCTTCTTCTACCAATAATAATAATAATAACAATAATAACACAGTTATGAAACCATTTTTACCATTTTGTTCTAGTTATGAAACCAAAGCATCGGATAAACTTAAAGTTCTAAACAACCAACTTCCCCTTCTTGACTTCTTCAATCAAACCAGCATTCAACAAACCCTAACCCATACCTTTATCACACTCTATAGAAACTTTTCAGTTAAACACTGTTCATGCATCCAAATTCAACAAGCAATCGCAAAGAAACTGACAATGAAGAGCAACCATTGCATTTGAAAACTAACTTTCTACATATCCATAGAAATCCAAAAGTACACTAAACGGAAAACACCAAAAGGTTTCAGCAAAAACAACTCCATATTAAACAGACTCCACATTAACATAAATATATTTGCATATTAACTAACAGTAACAGAAACACAGATAAACAGATGGGAAAAGACAACATTATCGAACGACTTACGTGCACAAACTGACTCCAACAAAGGACTCACATTTGCCCAACAAGGAAGCAGAGTCTATCCATCAAACCTCGAACATATCAGCTGCCGCCATAATTGGCTGTATCGGATAGGGGAGATGCCACGGCTTCAACAGAGGATCCGGAATCTCCGGGATTTCAACGTCACACCCGCTGACTTCTTCAGCAATGTGCAGCACCGAGTTCAGGGACCGTAATCTCTCGGTCAATTCCATCGCCTGAGCTCTTAACACGTGGTTGGCAGATTCCATCTCGGTGTAATGTTGGGTAGTGGTGTTGATCCCTTCAGAGAGCTGGCTATTCTCTTTCTGCAATGTGTTCACTTCGTTAAGCAAATCTTCGAGCCGCTTCTGCTTCCTCATACGTGACCGCCTTGCGGATTCACGGTTTGACAGCATTCTCTTCCTTTTCCTCTCGTCGATGTTTGCATATCGCAGGTCCGAATCGGATCCGGAACTCGCAGGCCTTTGCATAGTAGCCATCTCAACGGAAGGGTAATTTTTATTTTTCTTTTTGATCCGGGAAATTAACTATGGTTAGATGTAGATGAGGAGATTGGCGAACCAAGAGGGGCCAAATTCATGAGAAAACGTAGAACCAGTAAAGGAAGACGACCGAGAAGGAGTGAAGAATACGGATTCGACGCATGAGTATTAAGCTCATAGAAAACCTTATATCATTGGAATGGTTTTACAAAGACCAGACTCCCAATCTGCAGATCGGACGTGAACAAAACAGTCGAAAAATAACAAAGAAGAACACCCTAAAATACCCTATATCTAAACCAGATCTACAGAAAAAAAAAAAAAGAAATAGAAAAGGCAAAGACTCGCAGGGAAGAAGAAAGACAGAAAGAAAGAAGAAAAGTAAAAATACTTATCGGGTTGAAGAAAACGTTACCACAGGGACCACCACAAGCGAAACCAAAGAAGGGTAATCGAAGCAGGGAAGAGGGGCTTTTATAGGCAAAAGAGGAGGGATTTCATTGGTCCGTTGTTTCATGTTTGGTTAGGTTACTGGATAAGGAAGGATCTTTAAGGTCTTTTAACTGGTCAACTTTTGAAAGTAGGTAGGAGTGAGTTCGGTCGTCGGTGTCACTGCTGACGTGCAAAGTGACGGCAGCCAGGGTATGTAATTTTTTATTAAAATATTAAAAAAATTTTAACTGTTTTATTTTTATAAAATAAGTTTATATAATTTATTTTTTATGAATAATTTTTTGTTTTTCATTTGTATTTAAATAATATATTAATTTATATTAAAAATTTATTTAAGTTTAAAATAAAAATTAATAATTTATTTATATAAATGACAATAAAATGAATGTCCACTATATTTTACATTTCCGTATTAAAATCCCTTCAACTATCCCTTTAAATTTGTCATCATTATCTAAATCCATATCTAACTAAATAAGTACTAGCTCTTAAATGTTCAAATCAATTAAAATATTTATTTACTTAAATTTTTAAGTTAAAATATAAAATAAATAAATTTTAAATTTTAAATTTAAATTTAAATTTAAATTTAAATTCATTTTTAATTAATAATAAATAAAAATTACTTATTGTTAACTATTTTTTAAATTAATTGACATGTCATTAGAGCTGACATTTGAAAATTACGAGTTTGAAAAAATTTATGCACATAATATCTTTTCCAACTAAGTAAGTTATAAGTTAAAAAGGATTTAATGATAAATTAAGAATTTAAAAAAAATAAAAGTTATTTACTAAAATTTAAAACCTTCCACAAATATAAAATTTCATATAATTTATATATGTAAATAGATAACAAATTCATATATTTGATATTATCCAGTAAAAAATTTAAATGAATTCGAATATTAGATGACTAATAAGTATTATTCAAAATCTATTTGAATTTGTTATTTATTCGTTTATAAGTATTCGAATCTGACATAATCAAATTGAAAAAGATAGATATATATTTATTTAGTATCCATTGCCCTTTCTACTTAAGTAGATACAAATTAAAAGTTATTTACTTATTTGAGTATAATACAAATATATCAATTTGTCTAAATAAAATAATAAAATTTAAAGATTTTTTTAATTTAACCTAATTTTTTAGTGGTATAGTAAATAGCATTATAATTGCAAGTATATATATTTATAAGTTTCTCTTTGCCCTAGATTGATATAATAAATATGTTTTATGACACTCAAATTTTATATCGAGATAATTTGAAGCTTTGCTATTATATATATCTAAAAATATAATTATAAACTTGTGAAACACTTTTTATGAGACAAAATCATCAGACTTTTGGATCAAAATGAATAATATCTCATAGATTGAGTGTGAGTTTTCACAAATAGTATTAGAATAGTCACCAGTCAAACGGGAACTAAATGTTATACTATGGGAGCCACCTCTAAAATCCTGTAAGAACTAAGTGTTACATAGTGAGAGCCACCTCTATAATCTTAATGTCTGATGTGATCTTGTGATGTGTGTGTGTGCTTTATATTAGGCTTGCCCAAAGTTTGGTATGATTCGATGGATTTGTGTGCTTTGTATTGGGCTTAACGATGACGTCAAAGCTTTAACAGGGGGAGTTTGTGACATTCCAATCCCACATCGGGATAATTTAAAGTTTTATTATGATATATATGTATAGATCTAATCTCAAACTTGTGAGGTACCTTTTGCATATTAAAATCGTGGGTCAAATGAACAATACATCGTAAGTCCAACACAAAGAACACACTGATCACAAGATCACACTAGATGTTGAGATTCTAAATGTAACTCCCACAGTATAACACTTAATTCTTGTTTGATTGGTAACTGCTCTGATACTATTTGTAGAAATCCAAACCTAAATTGCGAGATATTGTTTACTTTAACTCGAATGTCTCACAGTTTTATCTCACAAAAGATATCTCACAAGTTTAGATTTTATATCTTAACATATATACCATAGCAGAACTTCAAATTAATCCAAAGTGAAATTGGGGCATCATGTGTTTCTTATAAATTGTTTTATGTATAAGATGGTTTACTAGTGTTACTAATAATTCTCATTTAAAAAGTTTAATGCAAGTGTTAAGTGTATATGAAACTTTGATATAAATTATCTAAACTTTAATCCTACTGTTCATAATTGATTTTTGAGTAGGACATTTGAGAGGTAGGTATTGGTGATTAATGAGAATACGGAAGTAGGAATGATGATTGAAGAAGAAAAAGGAAAAAAAAATTAATATAAGAAGTTTTCCATATTTTATGTTTGATAAGAGGAAAATGAGAAGAAAAAATGAAAATAGATGAATTTGCATATTTTATTATTTTCAAATTGCTTTCAAATTGAGAGAAAAATGTCAATTCAATTGACTTAATATTTTTCTTTTACAATTTTATGCTAAATCACTTTCTTTTCCTTTATTTTACATCTTTTATATTGAATTAAAAAAAAAACTTTTCGATCATTAATTTAGGGTTTTCTTTTTTTTTTTTTAATCTTTAGTCTATGTCTAAACACAAAGTTATGGATATATCAATTATTGTGATTTTCTTTCTCAATATTAAAAACATGATGATCCAGTAATCAACTTATATTTATATTTTAAAAAAGCTCGTATCATCTTTTATGTCCTCATGCCAAAAAAAAAAAATCAAATATGAAAATTTTGAAGTTATATGTAGCCGAATTAAAGAGAATACAAATAAAATTTGTAAAAATGGAGTATCCATTTGGTCCTCTTGTAAATTGGGAGTGTTTTAGTCCTTTTGGACAAATACCCGTTTTCGAACAGATCTTGATGGATTTTGCAATATCCATCACCGTAGACGCAATGTGTTACAAGCTTGCAATCTACACCTGGCTATACCGTATCAAATTATAGCTCCCATCTTTAGCCTCGAATCTTTTTATTGTTTTCTCTGTCCAATTCCCAATTTCAGCCTCACATCTCTTTTTCTATAGCTCGCTCACTCTCTCGCAATCAGTGAAGTTGAACCGTGAAGGACCTTAACTCTAACGCAGATAAAGGTCCTCTCCTCCCCCTTTTCTCTCGTTCTATCTCTGCTTTGCTGCATTTGTCCTTTCCTTGATTTTTGTTTTAATTTCTTAACAGTTATCGGCTTGCAAATGGCGAGGCCAGATACATGAACATCCTTGTGAAGCGTCTATTTACACCAGAATTGAACCCTCGGCTGGATGAAATGAGTGTTGACGGATAAAGGTTCTATGTAATAAAAGGGTAAGAGTTGGATGATTATTTAATTTTAGTTGAGACCGTTTTTATGCTTATGCTTCTTTTCTCTTGCCTAAGTTTTTAACCCCTAACCTTTTGCTCCATTTCAGCAAGAATGGCAAATCATAAAATTAAAGCAGTGCAGATTGATCTTGAGGACTTATTTAACGTACAATTCTTCCTATTCTCCTCTCAATTTATTCTAGGTTACTTTTTATACTTTTCTTCTTGTTAATTTTTTTTTTGTTTTACTTTTAAACCCTTAATTTAGTTCGTTCTCTTTTCACATTACAGAGATTTGGATGAGGAATTTCTCAGGCGGGTTACTGAGAACACTCGACGATACATTGGAATTTTCGCAGGTGCAATCCACAAGCTATTACCGGAGCCCACTGAGGCCTTTCATGATGATGGTCATGATATATTGATGAGATTAAACTTTACTGGTAAGCTTCAAGAAAAAACCCTTTTCACTCTTGATGCACTGAATCTGTTCTAAATTCTCTTTTTAGAGAATAATATGTTAATTTCTGAGTTTATGTTGTTATTTTAGTGTCTGTGTAGGTTTTTTAATCAAAATATCCTTTTATAGCGTGGGAAATGAACTATTGTAATGCATCATAGGAAGGTATTTCTATGACTAAATCATTGGAGCAAAAGAGTTTTCCATCCAACTATTTATTTGTTTATAAATAGTCTAAAATTAATAAATATCTTTATGTGTTATTATAAAAAAAAATTAAAAATTCTTTGTGCTTATGCACGAGTTTAAAACTTAGTTGTACATAAAACGAAATCATTGGGTGAAAAACTCTCGCAATCAAATGTTTGAGGGAAAGAAATCATGAATAAAAAAATGAATTATTAACTTTGATAAATAACTTGGTGCTTAATTCATATTTACAATAAAAAGTTTGACTCTTCTGCTATAAATCATCTTTTGCCTCTTCTTTTGTTGGGCTAATCCTCTACTTTTGTACGTTAAGTGATGGATAAGAAGTGGTAGATCTTCATGATTATTTTATCTTCGATCAGAACAGTAAATTACATCGTATCAGCATTGTAGCACAATATTCCCTAGATGACAAACTAAACTCCATTTAATTTCTTGATATGACAAAGGAAAATTGCTCTCTCTCCTCGACTGAGGAGCTCGTGGTTGGTCCACCATGGAAAAGAAACTGTAAGCTCACTAACAAGGCTAAGAGTTCCCGTGCTAATATTGTCAAATGAAGCATGAGGCCTCCGTTGAAATCTTTAGAGAAAGAAACATTTGGAGAATTTAAGGTCGATAACGGATGAAAAGTGAGATTAAAATGTAAATAATACATTAATATTTATAAATTATTTGAATTTGATCTGAATAAAATTTAAATTCGATTCAATTATTAAATGAATCGAATCCGAATTATTAAATGAATCGAATACGAATATTTTAATATAATCAACTCAAATAATACATAAATTTAATTGAATTTTTATATTTTAATTAATAATTTATCATTTTACCTTTAATATTAGAAAACCCTAATGCACTTTTTCCTTTTTTCTCACTCCCGACTTCCCTCCCCTAATCGGTGCCTGTTTCTCTTATTTCCTCCAATCCCAAAACCTAACAATATCCCAACTCCCTGGCATCTTCCTGCAAATGTTTCTCTTTGAGCGTCGAAATAAGCAGCAACAACAAGGAGGGCAAGATTATTTTCAGCAACAAAATCTTGTGTGCTGAAGCTATCCATTGAAATCAGTTACTTTCTTCCTTAATCTAATTCTTAGCCAAATAAAAATATAGTTTTTAATTTTTTGGCAAGAGCAGGTTGTCAGAAAGTACGAGTTTTAATACCCTTCCACAAGACAACCCTTCAATTGCCCCTTCAGATAAGGTCCCAAACAATGGTATGAAAGTTTCATTTCATTTGTTTGATACCCTTTTATTTATTTATTTTGGTATAATTTACTTTCTGCAATTTTATAAAAAATAAATGAGGGATTGATTTTTCAGTAGATTTAATTCTTTTTTCTTTTTGGGGTAATTGGATTCATGAGGTTGGTTCTTTTAAAAGTATCAAGTTTTATTTTTTATTTTTTAACTTTTTGCTTGGAGCTTTGAATTGATCTGTTGATGTGTATTTGGTAGATTCTGATTTAGAATCAAGAACTAGAAGATCAACTTTTTGTAATTTCATTTGGTTTTTGGTGATAAAATCTGGGCTCTAGTGTTAGAGTTAATTTCCTTGACGGGTTCTGTTGGATTTTGTTCTAGAAATATGAGTTAGAGAATATCACTTTTTTCTTTCTTTTTGTTTAAGTGACGTGGAAATTGAAATGAGTTTTTTTATCCTAATTGGTTTCTCTTTGGTTTGGGTATTAGTAATTAAGTATAAAGAGTAGTGGAGCTTGTTCCGATTATTTGGAGGAATTGGTCTTAAAAAAGGAGGATCAAGTAGTTTTGCCTTATGAGTCTTATGTATCCTTACGGAAGTTAGAGGATAAGAAGATGAGGAAGATTTCCGGATTTATATATCTTTTATTTGTATGTTGTATTTGTATTGGGAGATTTTTATTTTTTTGGATTTAGTTATTGTATAAGTTGTTATTATTATTATTATTATTATTATTATTATTATTATTGTTTTAAAAATATAATGTTTTAAGTTTGATAAAAAATAATTGTAAAAAATTTCGAACTCGAGCTCAAGCATAAACAATCGAGCTTTTATCGAGTATAAAAATTAAGTTTATTTTTACATGTTAAATGAATTTAATCGAACGAGTTTAAGTAATTTGATTTTTATTTTGAGTCAAGCTCGAACTAAAAAAATAAAATTTAATCGAATTTGAACCGAATTTCAAATCTCATATTTAGAGTCGAGTTTGAGCTCGAACTTGATAATATATCAGTTCGAACTTGATCAATTACACTCTTAAATAAAATTTAAAGGTCGGTACAGTATAACTTAGGAGTGTAATCGATCGAGTTCGAGCCGATATAATAATAAGTTTAAGCTCGACTCTAAATTCAAAACTCAAAACTCGGTTCAAACTCGATCGATTTTTATTCTTTTAGTTTGAGCTTGATTCGAAATAAAAATTGAGCTACTCAAGCTCGTTCAGTTCAGCTTGATTCTTATATTCGACAAAAATTTAATTATTTGTGCTCAAACTCGAACTCGAATTCGATATATTTTATCAATTAAAATACTTAAAATATATTAAAATATAAAAGTTCGATTAGACTTGCGAACAACTTGAGTCAGATATAAGAATATTCGAACTCAGTTTAATCGATAAGTCAAGCTACTCAAATTCGAACTTGACTAAATAATAATCGAGTCGAATTCGAATAACTTATGAGTATTAATATATTATTTATACGTCTAATACAATTAATGCCTAATGGTAGGGTTGGTGGGTCGGTGCCAATTATTTTGATCTGGTAGCGTTATCTTGGGCTTGCATCAGGAACACCTCGGTGCCCATTTATTTGGGTTGCAATGGGCCTAAATTTTTCTCCCACTCTTAGCCTGTTTTCATCATAAAATATGTACGCTGCAAGAATGAGGGTACGGTTTATAACCTACAATTAAAAAGGTGTGCAATTGTGCAGTTCATAGTGCCCACCATATGCCCGAATTCCCGCCATAGAAAAACCCCGATTAGAACATTTCCCTCGAATTCCCGCCATGTTTTATGCCTTTATTCTTCGTTGCCAATGAAGGGGACACTGAGTCCGCTTTTTAACTTTCCAACTCCTTCCCTCTTGTCTCTCATTTTATCGATTAATCGGAAAAAATGACACTGTCACGTCGGCAGAGCACCGGCAGATCACCGCTCGTTAATTAACGGTGCCAGATTACTTCATTCTTCTCTAAACCAACTCTCCTTCCCCATCTCCTACTCTCGCCAAACAGACTTCTAAACTTAACCCTAACCCTAAGCCTAACCGGAACACAAGTTCCAGCCCGACCATTCCGTCCTCAGTCCAATCCAAGCCCAAAATGTCCCTCTTAGTTACTGGCAAAACACCCTTCCAGACTTCCTTGACGCCGGCGGACAAATCGTACGTCAAGGAGGTGGTCGAGAAGAGGATTAGGGTTTACTGGCCGTTGGATAAGGCGCTGTACGAAGGTGTGGTGAAGTCTTTTAATAAGTATCCGGGTAAGCATTTGCTTCAGTATGATGGTGCTGAGGAGGAGTTGGATTTGGGAAAGGAGAAGATTGAGTGGGTTAAAGAAAGCAGGGGAACGCTTAAGAGGGAACGCTTAAGAGGCTAAGCCCAGGGGATTCTTCGGTTTTTAAGAAGGTGATGATTGATGATGGGGATGAGGATGTGACAGAGAGTGTGGTTGAAAAGGGTAATGCTGATGATGATGATTCTGTGTGCAGTGCTTTGTGTTGTCTGTTGGCACTGACCTGCTCTGTCTTGAAATAAATCTTTTGCTATGATTAAGTCAAGATTGCTTTAAAGTTGATATGTTTAAAAGCACTTTTGATTCGAGTTTCTTTGTCACATCCTGCCTGACATGTACAGAGCTTCTTCCGGTACTGGACTCCATATGTCAAGAAGTTCCTGGGAGAACTCTCACAAGCTGAATCTGAAAAGGAGACATCTTTAAGAAACATTCTTCAGAGGTTAATTGGATGATTCTGTGAGGATCACAGTCAGTGGTGGCAACTAATCTTAACAACAGCAGTTATGTTTGTCCACTTCTATGCAAACTGCGCTGAAGCTTGGTTTCGTGTTTCTTTATCATGTAATCAATTAGTTTCTCTTACCATTGCTTAGTTTAAGCTTTTTTCATTCCCTGATTACAGTGCAAACATCTATACTTGCATTTCTAGTCTATAACTTCAGTTTAGAACCATGACTGCTTGGTAGTTACAGAAATTCCTAAAGACTAATGGTGAAAATAAAAAATTTAATGTGATATGGGTTGATCTACTTTGCATATCTGAACTCGTGGTCTCCCATTGCTGAACTGGATGTATTGATCAGTCCAGAAATTGCATGTGATTTTAATGAATGGCCAAATGTTGTCCTCTTGTCTTGTGTTCTTCATATTCAAATGAAGTCCCATGCTTTTCTGCAAAATGTTTAGGGTAGACTGTTCTCAGAAGTGATTGTTAAGGCAAGAGTGCATTTTTCTCCAATTACATCATTATTCGGGGATCTGGTCATGCAAGTTTGATCCTTCTTACCGGTCCTAATATGGGTGGAAAGTCAACTCTTCTGCAAGTTTGCTTGGCCGTGATTTTGGCTCAGGTAAAATTTTGGTTCCTGCTAATGGTAGATTATCTTGTTGTGTTCAATGGCCTTCATGCGGGGTTCTCCCAAGGTAGGAGCCGATGCCTCTGCAGAACATTTTGAACTATCTCCTGTTGACCGAATCTTTAAAATGTTGATTTTAAATCTTTACTTTATGAACATATTAATGATGGTTAATGCAGTCCTCAGCAACTTGACATTCACTCATGGCATTAGATGAACTTGGACGTGGAACATCAACTTCTGATGGATAAGCCATTGCGTATGTTGCTTTCCAACTTCACATCTTTAAATATATACATATATATATATTACTTTTGACTTAATGTTAGTCCCGCATATCTCAATTTCTGTGTCAGGGAATCAGTTTGTGAACATTTTGTACACAACGGCGCGGTGTCGAGGAATGCTTTCAACACGCTACCACTGTTTAGCTGTGACTGCCTAAACAATTCCAAAGGTATGTGTATGCTTCTCTGTTGGATAACATTTTTCTTTTAAACAAAAGTTTATTATATTTGTACTTAGGGAATTATAGAGTGAATAAGAAATGATAAATGAGTCAGGTAAAATCATTTTGAAGTCTGTACGCGGAAAACACGAATAGCAATATGAAGACAAATTGCTAACACAAAGTTGTCTTGATAAGATGGTAGCTTGTGTTCGAGAATTGATCAACCTTACAGCAAATTCAAAGAGATTATAGAGAATACTTATATTAGCTCCTTTACTGAACATTAACATAATGGAAGGATACTTGTGCTGTAACATTGATGGAACATTCGGGTTGTGTTTCACGTCTGCACACAGCAATTGATGTGTATAGACTATAGAGAATTTCTTCGAGGCAGTTGTTGCTGGAGTATTCCTAGTTTTGCCAGGTCATTCGTTTCCCCAATTTTGGATATATTGATGTGAATATAAGGTCGACTACTCTTTAACATTTTATAAAGTTCGGGTGGAGAGGCGGAAACTATTTGTTGAGTTGAGCAGTTTGAACCAACAAAGTGAAAGGTTGTCGGCCACCCCGTACCGGCATTTGTAAAAGTTCGGCTGATCAATTGACTTGTTTTGAAAGTAAATACATATTGGCCAGAAAATTTAGGCCTTATCATCGTACGGAGATTTTTCTACTTGGCATATCTTTAATTTATTATAAAAATTAAATTTTATTTATTTATTTTTCTATTCATGCCAAAAAAATTGGGGAATTTGGGCAAGGTGAGCATTAGTTAATGCTCAGATTACAAATTGGAAGTAACTGGAGAGAATACGCTGAGATTATTAGACAGTGTGAAGTCCCTGCTGCTGCTCAATATCGTCTTCATCATCATAGTTGGAGGTATCCTCGTCAGAATCCTGTAAAACAAGCAACGCAACAAATTTAATTGCAGTCGCATTATATGAAAAACTGAGATTGTAAATCCTTAAATACAATTTTGCAAGTAATCAGGTTGTTGTTTAAAAAATTGGCTATGATATATGAAGACTGACATGATATTGACGTCGAACGCTGTTTCCGATAGCTGTAATTGTCCGAATAAGTATGTACATTGGGAGTAAAATTCCAGTAGCTCTTAAAATAAGTATCTGCAAAAATATGCCAAAAGAAAGAGTCTAAGAAAAGCTCAAAACTACTACTAGGATTGTGATGGTAGCTTAAGTTAAAACACAGATGGTCCAACAATGGAGAAAAAAATTGGATACTTGACTGTAAGAAGTGCAAATGGGTAATGATCTGTTTCGCCGTTAAGCACAGCTAAGAGATGTTTCACCAGCAAAACCACAGTAAACTGCCCATTCATTAACATAAGAATTAGTCATGCCAATTCCAATATTCATATCATACTTGATTTGTATTAAATACAATAAAATATAAAAATTGATGTGTTATAATTTATATTCAAATATTAAAAAAGAATTTTGGTTAAATTTTTATTAAATTAATATATAATTTTGGTTAAAATTTTAAGTGGCGTGATTTTCAATTTTTTTCATATATTTTTGTCACTATGACAATGTTAGCATTGCTAAGTCTTAGAAGAATCAACTTACCACGCACGTAATAGAAACATCATAGGGAGAGGGGTAATAAAAATAAAAATAAAACCGGTGGGAAGGTGGTTTTCATATATAATATAATATAGCTTCCCTGTCAAATTCAGTTTGTAGGACTCGTCCCACGTTATTTACTATGGGTGCAACCAATCCTAACCGTCGAAATTATAAAATTATGGGTGTAGTCTGAATTTACACACTAAAGCTACTTCTACTATGGCCAAAAAGAAACTTCTTGTATTGATTTTAATATTACAACTTCTGCAGTCTTTTCAACTACTAAAGAAATGTTTAAACCCCATTTTTTTATTACGTTGAGAAATCATTGGTTTGTATAAATGTTAATAATCCCTTGGAGTGATTTTCAGCCAAAGGCTGAAGAAGGTTCTCATAGAAGCAAAAGAAATGAAAACGTACAGTAAGGGCCAGTGATCGGCAGCAAGAGGCGCCTCTATCAGCGGCGGAAGTACATTGAGAGAACTCATTTTCGACGTTCATACCTTCATCTAATGCCACTAATCTTCGGTGTTGTGGCTCAATCTCTCTTCTTGGAATTTGTAGGCTATCTCTGATAAAAAAAAAATTAAGCAGCAATTTTTATTAAATAAAATATAGAAAAGGCTACGTAGATTATTTAATTAGCAACTACTAGGCCCGTTGAAATTGAAGATTAATACGGTTGATTTATGCCATTATCAACAAGTTTGGACACAAATTACAACACTCATAATCTTTTTCTTTAAAAAAAAACTACTAAGCCCTTTTAAAACAATAATAGCGTAAAAGCATGATTGGCTTTTTACATTAAATTAGAGAACTTTTTTTTTGGCAGTAAATTAGAGAACTTTTAAAATAAAGATGAGTGCATTTTTGTCAAAGTGAACAAAATTTTTTTCCCAACACCATCAGTTGGCAAATCGGGCGCCTTTAGAAAAAATTATGAATTGAATTATAAAAATAAAGATTACCTGATTGTAACTGTAGCCTCAATCAGCTGAGACTTCTTTGAAGATGCTGTTATTGTATATCCCGGTCCATATTCCTGCATCAAAAAAAGATTAATATACAGTAAAATTTTCATTAATAACTGCTAATTCTTGATATATCAATGTTTCAATAAAGATTAAATAAACCTCTGGGAACATTTTTTTTTTTATCTAAATAAACAGTCATAGCGGTAGTTCTTTAAAACATTCTTGAAAGAGAATTCCAGTAATCTGAGATATTTGAATGAAGCAATGGAGTCATAATTGGAAATCATTTAAAATTTTGTTTAGTTTATTTAATAATAAGGAATCCCATGGAAGAAAAGGGGAAGACTTAGACAAAAAGACAAGTTGAACAAAAAGGAAAAGTTTTGGATGCCACAAAATCAAAAAACAGAACAAGAACGCGATGAAAACAGAGTTTGAGAAAACAAAAACCCGGAAACTGATAACCCAGTTTGACATTAAAACAAAAACATCAAAATTTGTTTTAACAACCAAAGTTTTAAAAGGAAATTAAACTTTTCTTTTCTGCTCTGATCATTAAAATTCAAACCTGAAGACAAATTTCACAAGTTGTGTTTCCCTTCTCGTTACACCACCTCTGTATACAATCTCTATGAGCAAACTGAGAACAGCAAAAAGAAAAAAAAATTAGATCATCAAAACAGAGAAAACCCAACAATCAGAATCTGAAAATAAGCATTAAAAATTAAAAAAAAAATTTACCTTAACAGTGCCAGAACAAGCACATGGAGCTTCCAAGCACTTAAAGCTTTCAAACTCTTCTTCATGGCAAATTCTACAGTGTGAAATTGAAGAATCAGATGAAAAATCATCAACAAACAAAATAACATCTCCCATTTCTTCTCAACTTTTTGTTTTCTTATCTCGTTTTTGAAACCTTAATTTCTCTTATCGATGTTCAAATTTTGCTCTACTCTGTTCTCCTTTTTAATGTCTCTGCTTTTCTCTCAAACGGTCACGAAGTTCCACAAATACCCCTAGTTATCTTAAATGAAAATTATTATTATTATTATTATTATTATTATTATTATTATTATTATTTTTGTTTCTTTGAAAGAGAAAGAGTAAGACTTGAGTAAAGAAGGTCAAGTTATGATAATACTCATGGACTTTAATGAAATTTAAATTTTAGTGTTTTATTATAATTTATAAAAATATATAATTTTTTATTATTTTAATTTAATAATTAATTTGATCAAATTTTTATTATTAAAATATTAAGATAACCATTTAATTGATAACGTCTTATATAAATATATAAAAATCTAAACCTTTGATTAAAAAATATAGTCCAATAGATAGTTCATCTTTTAGACATATGGGTGGGTTTAAAAATTATTATGTATTCTCTAATAAATATATTTTATTTATTTAAAATATCTTTATTATTTGTTATAGTAGCATTTTTATTATTGAAAAATAATTGGTTAGACTAAATTAATTATATTTTAAATATTCAATATTTTTACTTTATATGAATAAGTTACAATTAATTTAGTCAATAACTCAAATAAAAAAATAAAAAACTAATTATCCATTAATATATTTACATATTTTTTATTATTTATAAAAAAATAAATGAAATTTAATGTAATAAATAAGAAAATAAAAATAAACCATTTAATAAATTGATGATGATGATATAATTAAATTAAGGAATATTTTGTTTTTTTTTTTAGAAAAGACAACAAATTAGGCAATAAATTTTGAAAAAAAAACTACATAATTTCATATATTTACTATTACTAACAAGTGGTTAGTTTAATCGGTTAAGATCATTTTTTTTTACGAAGAGATATTGGGTTTGAATTCTATCAGTGATCATTTATTATGATCATCTCGAATGTACGATCTATAATCATTGTCAGGTACGGTACATTTTACTTTGATACAAGGGATGAAATAATCTATCTACTTTCGATTTTTTTTTACAAAAAAAAAACTTTTATTATTTATTACATTGGACAATTAATAATAATAATTTTTTAATATATTGACGAAAATGTTTCTTGATAATAATATAAATATAAATGTTTATTTAAAAAATATTAAACAAATCAAATTTAATTATTTCTCACACAATGCAAATATAAAACTTTAAATGTTCAAATAAGTAACATTTTATAATTAAATTTTTGAATAAAAAACAATTGCAATTTTTTTAATCTTAAAATTTTAAAATTATATAATATTTTAAAATTTTTATATAAATCAAAACTTGACTTTCTAATGTTATAAAAAAAAATTAAATATAGTTATATATTTATTATATCAATATAAACTTGTCAATATTCTACTTATACAAATTTTTTTAAATTAATAATATTAAATATAATTAATATTATAATCATTTATTACTATGCATGATTTTAAAACTAGTAAATATTAAAATACAACAATCATTATCATAATTTGACAGGAAACGAAAAAGGCGATATTTAGCCAGTAAAGAAAACCGAAAGTGGAAGCCATCTCTGACTTGCTTTCATTCAAACGGTTTTGTAGGCTTCAAACATTCAATAGTCAAACAAATCTTAAATGCAGGACGAATTTTTTATAGAAAGAAAATTATAAATTTTTAATAATTTTTTTAAAGGTATTGAATTTTCATTTGGAATTTTATAATTCATAGTTTACACCTTTTTTGAGTTTATCATACAATAATTATGTTTATAGGTGCACCTGATTGAAATAAAATAAATATGTTGACTTGGTAAGAAAATAATTTGTAATTAATAGAAAATTGGTAATTTGTAAATGGTAGAAAAAGTAAAATCTGTATTCTTTTTATTATGTAAATATATAAGACAACGAAGAAGTCATGAATTTCAATGACGAACATTCTCTTGAAAAGAAAAAGAAAAAAGGATTGCCCTTTGATCATTTTTACAAGCCTTTTTCATTAACAAACCTCATATTTTTATTCGTTTTTTTTTTAATTTTGATTAAAAATTTTTTTTTAATTTTTAAAAAATTTTAATTAAATCTCTAATTATTCAAAATTATCTAATTTTGATTCTTTCGTCTATAAAATTATTTAAATTGACAGTAAATATTAGCTGGTATTACATTGATGGCATTAATTGGTATATCATGTGACAGATAAAAAAGTTAAAATAAAATTTCACTCAAAATTTAGAGATCGATTATGCTATTATCTTATTTTTTATATTTCACATATATTTTATAAAATATTAAAATTTAAAATAATATTTTTATTTTTTTTATTGTAATATATTTATTAGTTAAATATTTTTGTTTTTAATTAAAAATAGATTTTCAAAAATTAAGTTAAAATTTGTAATTTTTATTTTTAAATAGTCCATATCATTTTAAAAACCAAAATCTCCTGTCTATTACTAATATTATTTTATTAATGAATCATTATAGAAAACATTATTTTTATCCAAAAAATTTATTTTCTATTAAAAATATTAAATATCTTTCCCTTTTGCCTTTTCAAATATATTTTATAAAACTAAAAATAATTATAAAAAAATATTGATTTTTTATATTTCAAAAATATTGCAATTTAAAACAGTTTTTTACTATGATATAATTTATCAACAAAATAATATTTTTGATAAAAACCTTAAATTTTAGTTAAAATTGTCAAAATCCTTTTTTAAAAAATTCATATCATTTTTAAAAATTAAGTAAAATTTTTATATCAGCTTAAAAAATTAAATAAAAAACTCCCTATCATTTTAAAATATTAAGTAAAAATTTTTATATAATTTAAAAACAGATTTATTAATCTATTAAAATATATATTTTCTCTCTAAAAAATTATTTTGAATCTTATTTTTATTTTATATTTACAAAAAATAAAAATATTACTTTTAATAACCTGATTTATTCCCTTTAGCTGATTGATGGTGGAAATGACCATTCTGATTGTTTTTTATTTTAAATTTTTTAAAAATAAATTTTTTAATAAAGAATATATTGAAAAAAAATTTCAACAAAAAAATACTTATGACTAGATTAATAAATTGAATTTTTTAAATGATATGAAAATTTTTACTTAATTTTTAAAAATGATATGAAAATTTTTAAAAGGATTTTGAATTTTTAACTAATAAATTATATTATAATAAAATAAAATAATATTATTTTAAATTTAATATTTTATAAGATATATCTGAATTTTAACAAATAAATTATATTATAATAAAATAAATATATATTATTTTAAAATTAATATTTTATAAGATATATCTAAAATAAAAAAAATTCATGATAATAGCATCCTTCATCTTTAAATTGTGAGAAAATTTTATTTTGATCATTTTGTTTACCACATAAGATGTCACTTGTTGTATTCATGTGACACCAATTGATATTTATTGTCATTTTAGATAGGGTTGATAGCTTAATTCGTTTTTGACAGATTTTGATCTGACTCGATATATATAAAAAAATATTTTTTAATTAATTTTTTAATTTTTTATTTATATATTGTTATATATTTATATAATTTTAAATTTATATTAAAAGTAATATTTTATATTTAAAAAATAATATTTTATTAATTTCAAGTTAGATAAGGTATAATTTATACAATATCATATCGGGTTGATTTAGATATGAAAAAAAAATTTTTAAGTCAAGTCGAATTCAAATTTTATGAATATAAAATTAAATCGAATTTGAGTTAAATATAAACCTGTTCCGACTCGATTTAGTGTCATCCCTAATTTTAGATTGTTCTAAAGACAAAATAATCAACATTAAACAACTTTGGATAATTGATGAGAATCTGAAAAATTCCTTTTAAAGAATAAACATTAAAATAGAATCTGAATAAAAATTTGGAGATCACATTAAATCTATTTTCATGATTAGGAAAAAGAAAGCTCGTATTTTAAAGTACTTTTAATGACATAATGACATTGACATTGGAATAACAGGGTATTTGGTTGATTGTATGATTCTTTGGTTTATGCCTTTCATTTTCTTTGGTACAAGGGGAATTCGAATGTCATATAAGTAAAAAAGAAAAAAGAAAAAGAAGGTAGATATTTATATTATATGAAATGTAGAAAAAGAAATCAGAGTTGTGGTAAATAAGTATGTAATTATGAGACTTCCTATAATATTTAGGTGGATATTCGGATTTGAAATAGTAATATTTGAAAATTAAGCATTTAAATTAGGCTAAAATGGTTGTATAATTATGAAAACATAAAGATTGCAAATATTATTCTATATTAGTATAATTAATATGTTGAAAGGAGTACTTGTGGTTGTTTGAAATTTGTTTTGATATCTCATTTTCTTCTATAATGTCATTGTTGTTATCAAAGTGGGGGGCATTTTCCATGAGTTTTGCTTTGAAATACACATATCATATGGTGCCGTGTTTAAAGATATGAAAGTGATAAATGATGAAATATCATCTTCAATGGCGCTTACCAAATTTCTGGTTTTCTATAGTAACAAAATAATTTCACGTCGCTAAATATTTCCTCTCTTGTTTTCTTTGGAGGGGCAAAATTGGGAATATATTTTTCTATAACAAGGACTGACAGAATTATTATTGAGTTAATCATTATTACATCACGGTAAGTCTTCGTGCCTCTCTGTTGTCCAATTCAAAAAGTTTTGCCTTCAGGTTTGAATTTGAGACGTCTGATCTAAAATAAACGATTCCGGACGTTCAGGTCCTCAGATATTTTAAAATATATCCTGTAAATGACTTTGAAAAAATTAATAAACGCGGTCGCCGAAAAAAGGCATGAGCAAAAGATTTGCTCTGCTTCCATGAGCCCTTCCTTTTTCTTTTTTATCTTTTCCAATATCCAATCTAATTTTCAAATATTTAGTAATATATTCTGACATATCCTAACTTTAAAAAAATTAAGATGCTGACATTTGTGCTTATCCTTTCTCGATCTTATCGTCTTTTAGGAATTTAATTTTTTTTTCTCTCTCTAGACATTAGGC